ATAATTTTCCTTGTTTAAATTCAAATTATGTACCCTTAACTAGTATGTCTGATTTAAAAGACGCAATGTCAGAAAATTCTATAGAAATAAAAGACAGAATGTTTTAATATTAAAACATATTTAGACACTATAATACATTGAAGATGGTCGATAGGATATTGATGAAATCCTTTAGAAACATAATTTTGATGACAATGTTACTTTTGAATGTGTGGTGTTAAAGATACCATATATAAAATTGGTAAAARAAATAAATTTTCAAACTTCTTTATTGGTCATAAAAATGCAGCAAACAGTTGTAATTCAATTACTGCTCTTAAATTGTCAATTTAAAATCTAAACTTTTTTTGACTACTTACCCTGAAAACAATTATACTAGTTAGTAGTTAGACAAATTGAGATGTCATTTTCCTGACATGCTAATAGTCAAAACGTATTTGAACTTCGAAGACACYATTAATGACTTTTTGAATTTAATCACTTGATTCCATTTCTGTGTATTGAACACAAAAATTATATGATTAAGTATATATTATATATATAAATATGCATATGTATCATTACTTATATTACAATTGTGATGAGACAAATACCTACTTATTTATCTAACCATCAACTCAAAATAAAAATATCCAATTTTATAACTAATAAATTAACTAGCTACATATTCAATATGCTATATGCATATATTATTTATTATTATATACTTTTTTGCAATTATATATCTTACTAACTGATCTCCATGCACTACTTCGTAGCCCGTTGAAAATACCAAATCTAYATGATTCAACATTTGTGTTTAGTTCGTCGTTTAAAAACATATATTTTTATATTCTGTATTTGTTCATTGAGACGAGCTTAAGGTCTTTGTCTATGCTTATCACAAGTGGGTAGGAAGGTCCGGAGATCATGTGATCTATTTCGCCAAACTCCGTGAATAAAAATGCTATTTACCTACCTGTATAATCAAATATAATCAACGATAGCAAAAAATAAAAATAATCTGGACACTTTCTAACGAAACACAATTACTAGAACTATCAAAGTTAGCCTAATATTATTGACATGATATTATAATAGTATAGTATAGAAAATTACTTTAATTTTGAAGTCAGATTAATATAAATCATATTACAATTAAACTGCAGTATAATACGATAACAGTAGTAGTATACAGATAATGTATAATATATAATGATTGTATGATGCATCATGACTTCAAAATCACGCAAACATCTAGCCATGCAACCCATGGTCATCATGTGAACGTCTGCTTCTACGCGATATGGACCGGGCCACGTTGGCGAAAGTCTTTGTTGCCTCCGCGGCGTCTAACGCAACATTCACCATCAACTCGGTGGCGTCGACATCAGTGGAAACATTTGTTAATTCGGTTGCCAACCTAGCTGCATTCATTGCAATTGACGATGACGTGCGTGCCAAATCAACAATAACTGCAAAATTGGTCACATTCGTCATTGCCACATTTTCTACTGTTTCATTCGATGTATCCACGGACATTAATTCATGTGGAATTGACGTCCGCATGTATAAGCCATCCCTGATACCTCTATTCCATATTATTTTATGAGCCTCAGGGTCTCGGATTAAATCATCCGGGCATGACTCACTTCTGCCGTTGTAAAAACTTTCATGGTTATCGGAGTTATCGGCGTCAGTTGTAGCCTGCTGTTCATCCGATTGGAACGTCTGCGAAGACGAAGAAGATGACATAATAACAATGTCTGAAATTTATTCTGAAACGCATTATTTACAATAGTTAATGTCGGAAATATATATTTTTACCAGTAATGAATTTAATATTGATTAAGACAAATATTTATTTAATTATTTGGAGAGAAAATCACAATACCTACAAGAAATGATTAAAATTGATAGTCTAAGTAGTCTATATTAATTAATTTATGAGTATAAATACTTATATCCACGAAATCTTAAATATATTTTGCTATAAATTATTATTATACTTATATAATTACTTACATAAAAAAATATTTTAAGTTTTTTATTTTCACAAAGCCTATCCTGCCCTCTCATTGAAACAATCAACAATTTTTTTGCAAAAAATAATTAATATTTATCTAGCATATTCATATGTTTGCGATCAGTTTAAGCGCAACGTCAAAAGAAGGGCTTTAGACTCGTATCTCTAATATCCTCCCCCATTACACTATAAGATACTATGAATTCCAAATTTCCGTGCAAATATTAAGCTCATATTTGCATGATATTTTCGAATTTTTAGCTTCATTCACATATCCCCAAAAACTATGTTTTAAATTTATACGTATCCTTAACTTCCCAAAAATATCGTAATTCAATTAAAACGTTACCTATTAAGGTATAATACTATAATGAGCAATAAATCGATAACCAAAATGGTAATTATTGACAAATTTACCAGTCAATATACATTGATTAGAGATTACTGACAATTACTGGTGTAATGGTGTCCACCCYCAGTAACAGATATAATTATTTATTAACTATAAATCAATAAAAACTTTGTTTTCAATACGTGTGAGTGCGTGAGAAAATTGTATCTATTCTGTTTTGCGCATTTTACTAGATGTTAATGAACTTACATCGAACTGAATAATATATTRTTTTATTTTCATCCATTTTTTGTACATATATATTACATAAAATAAAAAAATTAACATGGGTTAGGTGTACTTACATATTATATAATTCAAAAGCCGTGATGATAATTCTTATCCAATTTAATCGATTTCACTATTATAGTATAACTTTTGATTGTAAAAAGCAACATAAAACGAAATAACAAACCGCAGTTCGTTCACAGAATATTTTAACAAGTCAAACAGGTGTTATGCCGTTGAGAGACGATAGACGGAATGTAGGTACAGGCTGGGGTATAAAAAAATCAGATGGTCTGTATAGGCTTCTTGAAATTTCTTCCAAAATATAATATCCCTGATAACAGCTTGGAAGAACATTGTGGCCAACCTTAATGTCTATGGATCCATGTTAATATTATTTGTATTTATTSTGTTGCCAACATAATTAATGTTTCAAAAATTATATAATAGATAAATTATTATCTAACTATATAACAACTAAATATTCCGTTCAAAATTAAATATTGCTGAAAGAAATAATATGACTTGTTTTTTTACTGAGTTAGTAGTTTCCACTTACTCATTTTCAATCTCAATCTCTCAATCTTTATAAGATGCTAGCTGTAAGTATAAAATTTTTTTAGGTTTAGGTACTTATTGTTCTAGATACCTAACTACTGAATAGTTAAATAACAATAACATAATTTTTATTGAATTCATTATAAATAGAAAAGTATAATATAGGTATAATTATACAGCGGTATAATATAGGTATAATTATACAGCTATACCTCTATTAATGGAAACCTCTCAATAGTGGACCCTTCCCAATAGTGGAGACTTTTAAATTCCCCGACAGGAATGTATGCACATAATAGAAGTTATTACCTCTTAATAATGGACTCTTCTAATAGTGGACATGGACATTAAAGATAGTATAATATAGTATTTAAGTATAATCAGGGGTTAAAGTGGGGGGGGACGCAAGGGGACACAGTCCCCCTACCTCTAACGGTGGTTAAAAAGCGTCYCCTTTAACGACTTTAACAAATTATGCGTATGGTAAGTCGGAACGCTTCAAATTCTTCAATAATCAATTATATCCAAACATTATATAATCAATATAATTCAGAATTCCGATAATTCCGTTGAGATTA